ATAATGATATCAAACAAAAAATAAAAAGAATTAAAAACAGAACGACACTCAGCGTCACATTGAATTAAAGAGGCAGGATAAAAAAGAGAACAAAATGTGCTGATATAATTTTTTATCACTCGACAGAAAAATAATAATAAATAAAAACCGAGAGACGGTATGCAGTAAAAGCAACATGAAGGAAGAATTAAAATTGTTGATGGCCGTTATCTTGCAGGAAGTTGTCACTAATCACTCAATGTGTATTTCATTTGTCATAATTTTTTATTTATTTCTTTCTGATTACAGTGAAAAAAAGAGAAAGAAATGTAATTTAATAAATAAAATAAGGAACGAAAAAAAAAATTACAAAAAGATAATGGAGAAACAGTGAATTTCATCATGCTGGTTATTTTTTTTCTCGAGCCAAATGTGTTAAAAAACATAAAGTTTTTTAAAGTCGCATTTTGTTTTATCAAGCTTGTTTCTAGGAACTATTTATTATTCATATCACAGGAGAGGAAATCCCTGTGATATATTTCTTATCGCACAAGCCATAAACATATTTAAAATCTGGGTAAAAGTTCAACGAATGTAAATCTTTGTAAATCCTAAAGTTTTTTAAAAAGAAATCAATTGTTGTACATAATATCATTGATGGAAAGTCCAACATATCTGTTAACTTCTTAAAATCTAGAACAATTCTGTCATTGACCATAAATGCTTTTCTATGTATTGACTTTGATTGAACTAATCAAATAAACCTACATTTTGGTCGGTACAAGAGCAAAAGCTCTTTTTTTATTTCCTCTGTCGGCAATAAAAGAAATTTTGCACTTTGACTACTTCTGAATCTCATTTTCATATCAACTCAATTAGAAATTATTATTTACGAGCATACAAATAAATTACATTTGAGTACACGCACGTCTTACAATCGTTAAAAATAATATTCTCAATATAGAATTCTTATTTACGAACAAAAGGAAACATTAAATTCTAATTAAGTTTCTGACCCAAATTTTTTTTGATAGAATAGAGTAAAAAAAAAATCTTTTTGCATTTAGCGATAACGTTTGTGCTGCTACATTTGTTTCGTTTAAATTTATTGTTTAGAGTTAATTTTAGAAAACATATTTGGGGCATGAGTTCATGCTATATTAAAAGATTTCATATACCAATCTGGAATATCACTTCATACCTTTTATTTTTTAAGAGCTGTAGTGCCAAAAAGTTATTCACCAAAACCTTCAGTGTTTGCGAATTTCAAATCAAAAGCTTATGAATGATGTCATGTGATAAAGCTGCACATTCATAACATTAAGTTAAGTATCAATTTCAATCCAAACTCATGCATCACTACAATAAAGTGTCATTTTCTTAGAAATATATTCCCAAAGAATAATTGAACGTGAATTCTACTGATTCATATTCAAGAATTAATTTTCATGCTTCCAAAAGAACTCGTGAAATTAAAAACAACATTTTTCCTTTGAAATTCTTCTTATTTGCCTGGCACTTCTTATTTGTCAAGTCAGATAAACAAAGTTAATATTTCATCCAGCGAGATCATTAATTTTTCATTTTTAATTTCCAAATTAAGTTGAAAAACAACGTGACTGTGTGTGCTGTATATGATCAAAATGAATGAATAGATATTTAAATACATGTATTAATTTTCTATGGAAATAAAGACCAGGGTTCATGGAAATTACCTTCTGCTTAAAGATTATTCTTTTTTCTTTTTGAAATTTCCGAAAATTAGTATGAAACTGGATGTTAAGTTTTGAATGTCTAATGCGCATCTAAAGAGTTTTTGGATCTTAAAATTGTGTTAAATTATTTAATAACTTAAAACATTTGAAATTCAATTAAATTGATGAAAATCTTTAGATTGTTTGTTGTTCATCTCGATCCTTAATCATGGATTTTAAAAGCTTGTTACTTCGTTAATAAAAGAAATCAAGAATAAAATTCTTTACCACCCAAAATGAGCAAAAAAGTCATCAATCTCAAGGCGAAAAGTGTACCGAAAGAAGGCACTTCATCAACCATGTGCGCCTCAATCACATTTGAAATGAAAATAAATAAAATAATAATAAGAAAATAGAAGAATTTCTCTGTTTGCCATCTCTGCTTGATGCGTATGAAAATGATTTTTATTTATTATACACACATAAAGAGAAAAAATCACACTTTTAAAAATTCTTAACATTTCAAGAAGGTTTTCATTCTCAATTGGGAACTGTGTTGCTATATGGCTAAAATATCATTTGGTCAACACATGTTTCTTCATTTTGCTTCGCTTCTTTCTGTTCTGTTACTTCAAAAAGATCTATTGCTTTCTTGCTTATTTATTTGTGTATTTCTTGAATGTATTTGTGACATGCAATCGAAATATGGAAAGGAATTTTTGTCTCAAAAGTCAAAAAGAAGAAGTAAGAAGTTTGAGTACTACAACATGTTCAACAGTTTTAACGAGATTTTCATGCTTAATTTCATTCAATTTATAAATTAATGAAATTAATAATTGAGAATTTTTGGTGGACTGCAATGGAAAATTCGAGTCGGTAATAACTCATACATTAAACTTGAAAGTCATGTTTTGTGAGAAATCTATTAATATAATCTTAATTAATAATAATTTTTTTTTTGTGACCATGCTAAAGCCATTGATGAGAATCTTTTATTTATAAAACCTTTCCAATTGATAAACATCACAAAAATTCCAATGATCCAAGCTATTGAAAGAATTTCTAATTTAACAAATAATTTCCATCTTCAAGAGAATCACGCTCGTAATCTCCAAAACCTCTCCTTTGCACATGCATTGAGAGAGATAGAAAGAGGTTTAGGTAAGCAATATGTGTGCACTTTAAAATTTCGGAAATACAATTATTCGTTTCGGAAAGAGCAATAAATAAATAAATCTATTTTTATACAAAGAAAATATCTTACTGGGAGTTTCTCTCTTAACAATAACAATCGGCATCATTACCATGTGTAAAAAAGGCAGGAATTATAATAAGGCAAATCGAATGTGTAAAAAGTAATGAAAATTCCATTCATATGGCAAGAAAATGTGTGTACGTACTGTTTTTTTTTAAAAAAATACCAATCCATACCTTTTTGATGTTAATTTATTCTTGATTTTTCAAACAGCACACTTTCTTGTTCCTTTCTCTGGCGCTAGCTTGTTAAAATTTTTACTTTTTTAAAATAAATAAATCTTTGCTTCACGCCTTAAGTACTTTTTTTTTCTTTAAATTCATCTTCGTTCCCATCGCCACACATTTTTTTTTGGCGCGCAATTGAAATGAAAACATTTCTGCTTTATTTAAATTAAAAAGATTTAATTTTTTAAACGCAGATTTTTGCACTAGAAATTGACTAATGATTTGCCTTTGATGTGGCCTTAAAAACAATATTAATTAAAATTTTCGTCATTTATGTTCTCAGAGTTCAACCCTCTGAAAATGCTGTTTACAATATTTTTTGACGGTAATCTTATTATTAGATTTTTTTTTGTTTTATATACTCAAATTTGTGTCAATGACGATAAGGAAATGTCTACATAAAAAAATTCTCCAATGCTCATTTGCACAATCACCGAAAATAAACGATTTATTGTGCCTAATGTTTACATGATAATTCTTTACTTTGAGTGAGTAGATTATCAGTACGTAAATGAGGTATTGATAAACTCAAATAAATCTTTCGTTCAAGGAAACACTGATTTCTCAAGTAAAATAAATAAGAAGATGTAAAAAAAAGTAGGAAGATGTCCAATCAACTCATAACAAGTCTCAATAGTAAAGTAAGAAAATAATGAAAAGAACGTAGAATAAACGTGATCTCTGACCTGAACCTCTTGTCTTACTTGCTATAACAAGCAATGTTATCTCTGTGAGCCATAAATGAATTGTAAGTATATTATTTAAATGATATGAGTAAACAAAGAGTGAATGAGTGTGTATTTTTTTGTGTTGAGAGGTAGGCAGGCATATGTAATCATCTTTAGTATATGAGAAGAAATATTTTATTATTATTGATAAGACGTAAATAAATTAAAGAAGACGTCATGACACAAATTGATGTCATTGACTCATCGTCCATTTATAATGAATCTAGAATTGTTTCGTTTCCTTTATACTCTTTGTTGGATAGCCATAAAAGTGACAATAGTCGATTAATATGAATAGATCAATTGTAAGGTGATTCAAATCCCATCAACAGTAGACTTTAATCTCTACCGCACAACTGATAGAGTAACAATGTAGGCATTGAATTGAATCTTCTTTTCTTTAATTTCCCTCCCTCTCTGTATCTCTCACGATATATACATTAGGAATGTCGATTTAAAATTTAAATAGCCAAAAAAAAATGCCATTTGTTCAATTGTTCATTCATTTAGAATTAAAGTGATGTGCTGTAAAAAAATAAAATTACAGTTCTCTTTACAGCCTTAGCTCACACCGTTATATACTAATTTCGTTTTATGCAGGAGGAATGTCGAAAAGTGAAATCCTAAACCGGTCGTCAATTGAATCCCTTCGTGCCGTTTTTTGTGCATGATTTTTTAACAAATATGTTGATTCCATTTGCAGTTTGTCTTGCCTCATTTATGAAAACAGAACTTTAAGCTACTTCATACCAAAAAGATTATGAATACTTTTGATGATACTTTATAAATTTACACACAGGCCTGAAAGTGCCAAATCTTTTCAGTCCAGTTAAAAAAGCAAAACAAAATGCGTTCTAATTTGGAATTGATCAGCAAACGACAGTTCTCTTCTCTTTTTTCACCGTAAAGGGATTTTTTTTAAATTCATTGTTCAAAATCAGTGAATTTCTATTTCAATCATCATCGCAGGCAGGAGGACAAGAAGAACGAGAAGCAATAACACATGTGCATATTTGTGATTAAAAATAAAATACAATTTTATAAAATTTATATAGCAGGAACAGCAGCATGTAAAATTCTACAAGGTGGAAGGTAAATCTATTGTAAATAACGATTTCTTTTGTCTATGTATGTGGTACAATCAACAATAAAATGTTACTCTGTAAATGTGCGTATCTTTATATAAAATTAATGCAGAAGGGATGCACGATCGTGTACGAGGGAGAGGAAAATCAACCTTTATGTTGTTGCATGCAGGACAATTGAAGGTAAGTAAAATTCCTGATTTTATTTATTGTTCTCATCTTTGTGTGAGTGTCTGTATTTGCGTAGATTTTTAAACGGGGTGATTTAGATACGCTAGGATGAATGAATAGCACGATTTTCTTTTGTCGCGTGTCAAATTTGATTTTGCTTTTTTTGTTTTGCAAGATAAAAAATTCTCACAGGGTTGGAAGGACAAAAAAATGCGATTGTGGAAGTCATTGAAGGTGGATGAATGAAGCGATTTTCGGATGAATTTGATTTTGTTGCAACATTATGAAACAATTGTCAGATGTGTGAATATTATTGATACCCAAATGTCTTCATATATCATCATATTTTTTGGAAATTTCAAATATTTCTAAAAAAAATATTCAAGTCTTGATGCTTAAGAATTGACCAAATGACGTTTTTAAGAATCTGAAAACACTTTGAACCAAAGTGACATCAAAATTGCTCCTTTTCAATCTGATAAATTCAACTCGATTATTTAAAGAACAGTAACAGTCAATATGAATTGCCGAGACCTTTAAAAGCTGATTGATGAATTTCTGGATATGAAATTTTTCTCTTTAATTGTAACGATTTGACTCTGTTTACACAAGGTATAAAGTCTGATTGAGTACATAAGTTGATGTATGGGAGACTTTTTATTATTAAAAATATGAGCTAGAGGCGATTTTCGACTTTTTCATCATTACTTACCGATTTTTAAATGGAATACATACATATGCACATGTGGCACATTTTATGAATGAAAAAAGCAGGGAACATTTTATTCTGTTTACATTTTTCCTTTTTTGTCTCTACCATCATCCATAAAAATATTCCTGCATATATTGCACATGATAAAGGTACGGTATAGATGGTTAAATATGCAATAAGAAACTTGAAAAATGATTCATTCATATCGGTACTTTAATTTCAGTCATTAGCATATAATTTGAGTCTTTAAAAACAAGGGAAAATTTGAAAATTTACGAAAAAAAAAATCATATTCAATTTTCATCATCGTCAGGAGTGCTAAAAACCAATGCATTAAACATCTGTCAATATATTCCTTGGTAGGTATAATTTTCTTCTCTCTGAAGTATGCATACACATTAGCTGCAGTGCAGGAGAGAGATATCTCATAAGAGAACTGAACAATTCCTACAAAACGACAAAAAGTGTCCGATTACAGTCGAAAATTGATTTTTATTTTCTACGTGAAACCTAAAAATGCATGAAAATAGGCCCAGTGAGGATGATAATGAATCTTTTTTAAAAATAATGACAATTGATAACTTAAAAGGATTTTTCAGCTAGTCCTAAACTTTAGTTCATTCAAAACTTCTTTTTCTACCCACTGGCAACTTCGTGTGTCTTTATATCGGCATTTTTAAAGCTCGCATATGTCCAACAAAATTTAAATATAACAAAAATCAAAATATTTAATATTATATTAAGCAAAGGAAGTTGAAGGAAGAGAAAGAAAACATGAAATTCATTGCAAGCAATTTGATCGCCAGCCATCGTCATTTGATCGTCTGAAGCAAGCAATAACAAAAGAATCCATTCAAAATCACCTTCTTGAGATGAAATTCTTCATTTTTCTCTTTGCTGTAGCATTAAGCATTAACAAATAGGAGAAGAAATCTGACGAACACTTCTTGATGAATGATTTCATTCTTTTTCGTATGAAAAAAAGGAAACATTTACCGCTTTTCGACAATGAAGAGAAGTCTCTTGTGTGCAAAGCCGAAGAAAAGATGGAATGGATGGGAAAATAAAGAAAGAAAAGAATATCACCGAAGGGGAACGAAGAAAAAAACGTGGACATTTGGCTCCTCCCTTTAATTTTTCCACCTTGACAACTGACACTAAACTGGAGAAGCCAAAAAAAAACCAAATTAATTTTTGGACCCAAAAAAAGACGAAAATTAATTAAGAATGAAAAAAATTCAAATTCAAATTGTCGTTTATAAATTTTCAGAGATGAATGAATTGAATGTCGGTGAATAAATTGTAAATGCGAGAGTAATACTAACGTTTCATCGTATTTCTCCTCATTTCCCCTGAAATGTAGAAAAATTTTTGTGCTTTTCTACGCAATTTTTTTTTTGAATTTTCTTTTAAACTCTTTCGTGAGTTATTCTTTGTGAATCTTTTGGATAGAAGGATTCTGATAAAATAGCAGATATATAAAAAATAAATAAATTAAGTGAATAGTTTAACATAAAGGAGTATAAGACTTTATTTCATATAAATTTAAACCGCAATTTAATTTTAAGTTAATTATTGTAATACTAATTATTACCTTAATACATTATACTGTATTAGAACTAATTGTAGTCCATTGGTTTATCTTTTAAATAAAACCTTATCGCAATGATGAGTAATCTTAATATTTAATAAAACTCAATTCTGATCCACATGTTTCTATACAAACGTAATGGAATAGAACACGATCAATTGCCTGTTATGCTGGTTCATTCACAAGCAAACTCAAAATATTCTCCCTTATATTTTCACTCTGCGCTCTCAGTACAAAAGCTGTTTCACAATGTAGAAAACTATGAGTAAGTTACATCTACTCACACAATATTTCCCCTCTTCGTTATTTTTCTTTCTTTCTTTTCATAATTCGTTCCCGCATCATAGCAGGATAGATTCTCTCTCGCAGATTATTTCATCTGAACGTCCGTACCTTTCAGTTACTTTTTGTACACATTTCAGAAAGAATCATCGATAGTTAGGTTTTAAGTATTTTAGTATTTGTATTTTTTATTTTGTGGAATAAAGACGCAAGAAGCATCACGGATTAGAGAAAAAAAAATAAATTTTTATATATTTTTTTCTCTTCATTATTCTCGAGACATTAAGCGGTGGTTTTTGGCCTTTTTTGCTTCTTATGAAAAAAAAATATATTTTTTTGTGTGGAAAAAAATGGATTTTGAAGTGAAAATTTTATTAAGAAAATAGAAAGCTAATGAAATAAAATTATGTAAGGAAAAGTGAAAATATTGACAATTTTTCTTAAGAAATTCTCAACATATGGAGATGAAAAATACTCGAGTGAATTAAATAAAATCATGAAATGTGACAAAAAAATCATGAATTTTTTCAAATAGTAAAATTAAAAAGGAAAAGTTTTTTGTAGTGAAGAAATTAGATAAAAAAAAATAATTGGAAGAAGAAAAATTAAAGGAAATAACCAAAGAAACAAAATTTTTATTTACAAATGTTGTCTTGCCTGGTGCCTCGTTTTCAAACAGAAGACATAAGTCTACCAACATCATCGAAATTTGATTTGCAATGTGAGTATTTTTAAAAACTAATAATACAATAACTTAATAATTTTTTTGGGGGGTGTATTATAAGCTCTGACTTGTTTATTCCGTATTTTATTAAGACTAGAAATTCCCAGACGTATTAAAATAATAGTAAAAAGTCACAATCGAGTGACTTAAGTGAGCAATTTTTAAATCTCATTATCAAAAAATTTGCAAGATTCCCCACAATATTTAATTCATAAAATCTCTTGCCGCTCATTTTTTTCTACAGAGATTTTTTTAAACATTATAAATAATTTGTAAAATTTGTGAAATCAATAATAAGACATTAATGTTTTTTTTCGCATATTTTGAATGAATTTTATGATTTTTGTTGCTTTCAATTTTTGTGGGAAGAATGGATGATTTTTCTAGAAATTTTGATATTATTCAAACAATGGACAGTTTGCATAATTCCTTTTAAAAATATAAGAATGTTTATTTGAACATTTAAAATTAGATTATTAGAATTTTGAAAAATTTATGTACAGATAATGACTAAACGAGTGATTAAAGTCAAAACTTAGAGTAGCTTTTATTCAATATTAAAAACTTTAAAGAATTTTTAAAAATTGTTTTATTTTTTTATTTTCAACGTTATAAAATTTTGATACAATATTACAATGTATTAGAATAACTTCCCAATTATTTTCTTCGTGACACACATCAAGTTTAAAAACAGAATCAAATACGCACTCAAACTGTATCTCAATATACAAAACGAATGAAAAAAACATTCCCAGAAAGGTAGTCGTAAAAAATGGCCGTAAACAATTTAAAAATGTTTGTTGCTTCTTTGCTTACAAAAAAATACATCTTTTCGTTTCTTTTCTTTATTCTCCATTTTTTCCATAAAAAAAATCGTCATGTATAAGAAACACTTCTACTTTTTTGTGAGCTTCACACACATATCAATTTATACGTTTGCCTACCTACACATGTAGAGTAATGAGAATATATGTTATATATGGAAGAATGTTATCGTTTTCAATTGAAAAACCAGACAGAGTGCACAGTGAGGCACTTTTTTTGTTGTTTCAGAAACAAAACTTTTTTTTCTCTACACAATTGTGTTGCTTATTTGTTTCTACTGACGATGACGATGATGATCAGTGTGTATTCTACACGTAACTGCGTGATGATTCACTGATAAAATATATGAAGCTATTTACATGCCTGTTAATAGTCATAATATGTGATTGTACTATATTATATAGTTGTACGCAAGTACATACACTTATTGCTGTTTTTGTCTCGGTTACAGATGTATGTATAGGAAATGTATAAATTGAAACCAGGTTGATGATGATCAACTGAGCGCAAAACGTAGAAAAAATTATTTTCATATATTTTTGATGGGTGGAGTTGTTATTTTATTCCGATACTTTACGTTTTATGTCTGTTTGTTGATATCATACTTCATTAAAGCTATTTATTAGACACAAATACTCAATATTTTATCATAATCTAAGAAATTTCTTCAAAATTGACATCAAGAATTAAACGTGTTGATCAAAACATGTTGTTTAGTTGAGGAGATGAGGGAGCAGTTGAGGAAAGAATTTGTGGTATGCTCGTGTACATTTTTGTGATAATTCGTAGACTAATTTAATTGATGGACCATACACGTTGCCAATATAAAAAGAAATTAGCTAATTTGTTTTAATATTAAATAAAAGCTGAACTTTATATCAACAATCAGGTTCAATTTGCACCTACAAATTAGCAGCCTACAATAAAATTTAAATTCTTGTTATCACATTATTCATTCAAAATGAGACACTTAGTCATGACTTTATTTTGTGAGTTTCATACAAGCTACATTGTACTGTAATAACGTTATTACTTGTATAATACACGATCTGCCTTACATCGCACTTTTTCATAATTTAGAGGTAAATTTACGAGTTGATTGGAATCTATTGATATAAATGCAAATGTGTCAGTTTTCTGGGAAACACTTATTTATTCTGGGACGTTTATCCTGTCAGTCATAGTATAATACCTCGAAAAAAAGATGCTTTATATGCAAAGGAGCATTCATACGAATATCCAATTTTCAATTGATTTTTTAAAATCATTAGAAAAATTAAAAACAGGAAACTAATCAGATTGTTATTAAAACAATTAATAATTTGAATAACAATAATCGGAACCTAGACACCTCCACATTTAACGATTTTACAGTCTTGTCTCAGCCTCCACTTTTGCAATAAAATAAGATGCAAAAAAAATTCTTTTTACTTTTTTTAAAACAATTTTATTGCAATAAATTTACGAATGAATTCCAGGTCAAAAGTCCCTCTACTGATTCAATGCCCTTGTAAAATATACAATTCACTCTCATTTCAATTCAAGAGAGCAAAAATTAAATGCAAAAAAGGAAAAATAAAATTTATTGATTTCTCTACTGAAAATACATCAAAATAGAAGACATGAATTATTTTTTTCTATCATCAACTACACACAAAAAAATTGTGAAAGAAACAACAAATTCAAGTGGAAAACGATGGTAAGGTCAGGACACATGAAAATTTATGAATGGAAAAAGGGAAAAATATGTACATTGTTTATATGGAAAAAAGAAAAGAAAAAAAGTTTTTCTTCTCACTTTCGCTTGTCGGAAGAAAAAAAAGTTTTGTTTTGAGCGACTTTTTGATTGGAACATGAGGTCTAATAGTCATTATGGGTATAGCTGCTAAATGATGTTATTTTCCAAATGATTTAATACCCAATTGCAAGAATTTTTTTAGATAAATTGATTATCTTCATAAGATCTTGGGAGTTTGATTTTTGGCATGCTGAAGTTTCATGCTGACTTAATTTAAGACATGAATTTGACTTATTTTTTCGATAATTTAATTAAATCTTTTCAAAGTGATGAATTTCGATCATTGTAAAAATTAAACAAAATTTAAAGAAAATCATATAATTTAATTATATTAGACAATACGTTGTAAATGCGTTCAAACCTTACAAATTGCCTCCCATACTTTTTATCTTCTCTCATCGACTGCCTGAACAAACTCACTCATAACAGAGAGTTTTCTTTACTACTGAAATTAGCTTTTACAATAATAATTATTTATTGATCATTTGTTGATGATGAATATATGTACGTGATAGTATAATCAATCTAGCTAACAAAGTATTCAAGATGTAGAATAAATAAAATTTATTTTTATTAGAGTTTCACTTACGGAACGGATATTAATTATGATGGGGAATAGAAAATAATCGTATGGGGAAAATAAAACAATAATAAAAGTAATATTAGCACAAATAGGTGTTGGCTTGCTGTACAATATAATCATAGCGCCATGCTTGTTACCTTTTCTTATTCTTCTTTCTTGCCTTCTTATTTTCCTTCCAACCAATTGACTTCAACTTTTAAATTGAAACAGGTTCCACACAAAAGAAGTTGAAACCATTTCTTATTGTTTGTTACTAAGCAGGTAGAAGGGAAATGAAAAAGTAGGAAGGGGGAATAAAGAACGTAATAAGAAGTTGTAAAGAAATGAACAATAGTCCTTATTGTTCCTTTAGTAAAATACTAAGTAAGGGTAGAAAATGCCAACTTAATTAAATATAATTTGCTGTATTACGGATTATTACAGTTCTCCTTGAGTCATGAGGGCTAATTTATCTACTTCTACCTTACTTGACTGTATTACTGACGTATAAATTGCTTTTAATAAAAGCAGTTTTGGCTATGAACTCAATTTATTTTTATTTATTAGTTTATTTATAGCATTTGTATTAGTTAAAGACCATAGTGTAGAAAACCCAAAAATATTAAACGAAATGGCTGATTTTTTTTTTCCTCTGACTCAATAACAAATTCAAAGAAACATAAAAGCTTCAATTAATTTAAATATGAAGTTTCAAAAAAATACAAGGCATGTCACAATACAATCGATCTTTTAGTCTATTCATATTTCTTTTGTTTCCTACACTCTGCAGTCAGTGTAGGTTTTAAATTCGAGCGAACGGAAATAAGAAACTTGATTGACTGACTTGAAGGTGTTTAAACATAAATATTAAATTTCAAAATAGTCACAAAAATCCCCACAAAATAAATATAAATACCTCATAAATACTCAGAAACTCAATTTGTTTGTCACTTCTGATGATAATAAAATAATCACTAGAATGTCCATGAAATGGAAAGAGAAAGTGTTATGAGTCATCAACGTCATTTTATTCGATGATGTCATTCATGTTTTCTTCTCCAGTGGAGAAAAACAATAACGAATTACAACGAATCTAATAAAATGTCTCAGAATTCATGAATACAAGTTAACGTGGAAGCATCAATTACCTTTAATTTATATTCTTGGAAACTCCGAACTCTTGGAAATGTGACCGAAATAAAGAACTAAAATTGAAACTTATGAAGAATTAGACGCATTTTTAACGCATTTCATTTCACTTATAATAAGTCAAATTAGAGCTCAAGAGTAGAGCTACTAGAAGCTTAACCACGTAATAATTTAATTTTTAAGAACGCAATTGTTTTGAATTGAAAATCTTTGCAAAACTCTACGTTAAAATAAATAAACCAATTAAACGAATTGATGCCTACTATCGTAACTCAGTACAGATTTTTTAAGATCCCTTTTTACATTCCTACTGAAATTCGAATCATTCACGGACAAAATCTGCAGACATATGAAAACACCTTGCTCTCAGCTTTTAATATTTCTTACTCGTTTCTGATTTAAAATAAATAAATACAGGCAGCGAGTTATGGCTTTCAATGTGCTGCGACTATCGTGAATGTAAGACTATATACACAAATAAAAAAAAAAGGAGAGAAGAGAAATAATAATAATAAAAGAAAGAAAAAAAAGAAAAATATTTAAAAATAAAGAAAAAGAATCGGTTAGTAATACAATCATAACTCTTGCCATTCGAGAGGCAGCAAACAGTCGAACATTAATTTGTTTTACAATAATATCTTTAATTTCCTTCGGTTGATTTTA